CACGCATGCGACGCCACACCCAGCTAATCTTTCTAGTTTTTGTAGAGGTGGGGTCTTGCTTTTGCTCAAACTGGTCTTGAACTCCTGAGCTCAAGTAATCCTCCCACCTTGGCCTCCCAGAGTGCTAGGATTATAGGCATGAGCCACCACACCTGGCTGTTTTAGCATATTTTTTAAAAAAATTTTATATCCTGTTTCCATACGTGCCATGGTGACTTACTTTTTTTTCCTTCTTTTCCTTTTTCTATTTCAAGGGTTTATCTCTAATCTAACCATTCAGAGACAATACTTCCCTAATGATGAAGATCAGGTTGGGGCAGCCAAAGCTCTGTTGCGTCTCCAGGACACCTACAATTTGGATACAGATACCATCTCAAAGGGTAATCTTCCAGGTAAGATAACTCTTCCAGTCTATAAAATAACTACCACTTGGCTTCTCTCTTCAATCCATTAGGACAATGTTAATATAAAAAAGACTTTTATATTTTAAGATTTTAAACTATGGTTTGTTTCATAGCCTTCGAGGATGAAAGAACCACCTTCCCTTTCTCTTAGGACTTAATAGTCATGAATATGCTTCTAGCTTGTTACTTGTGAAAGCTTGTATTTATAGAGACTAACTTAAGTAGACAATTTTAATGTGTAAGAGAGAGAAACTGTCATTTTTCCCAATGTTTTTCTTCAGAATACCTGATACTACTTGAGTGCTTTGTATGTAAAGCTATAAGAGTTCTGGCCAATTTAGTGACTCGTTGAAGTGTATTCAGTCAAAATTTATTAAAGAAAATACCATTGTTTCTTTCTCCACCAATTTCCTTTGTGATATTATCAGACACTTAAGTAAATGTAGAAGATTATATCTGTTTTATCAGCAAAATGTAGTCTAGTCTACGACTGATAGTTGCTTTTAAACGCTTTACTCTTTTAGAAGCATGACTTCTAGTATAATATGGATTTAGTCTCAGAACTATATTTTCAAAGGGAAGTGTTGTTAGGTAACTAGTATTTAATTTATCATGTAATTAGTTGTTATTTTTTCACATACTTGTCATTTTTTTTGTTAGTGTTGGAAAGGGAACTATGTGATTTTCTTTATAAGGCATAAAAAGAGCCCTGGAGGACAAGACTTTCTTCTTTTTGTTGTTATTTATAAAACTTCTTTTATTATGGAAAACGTCAAACATGACCTACACACAAAAATAAAGATAATAACATAATGAACCTCATGCATCCGTCACCGAGCTTCAAAAGTTTTTAACATTTGTCATTCTTGTTATATCTATTCTCACCATCCCTTCTTTTTGTTGTTTTAGTTGGAGTATTTTAAAAGCAAATCCTAGACATCACATGTCATTTTATCCATAAATAATTCAATATGTATATATATCTCATGGATCAGGTCTCTTTTTAAAAATAATATAACCATTTCCTATTATCCTGCCTAACTAAATTGACAGTTTTTCCTTAATATAACTTAATACCAAGTCAATATTCAGTTTCTTTGGTGATCTCAAAGATGTTCTTTTACAGTTGCATTTTTTGGTTATGTCTCTTAAATCTTTTATTCCCCTCTCCTTTTTTTTTTTTTTTTTCTATTTATGACATTGATTAGTTGAGAAAACCTGGTCATATGTTCTGTGGAATGTCCCACATTCTGGAATTGGCTCATTTCTTCTTTGGAGATTAACTTGTTCCTCTAATGCCTGTGTTTCCTGCAAACTGTTTAGAGGTTAAGGCTTGATTAGATTCAAATTAAGTTTTTAATTAATTCCATAGGTGGCACTATGAACTTTCTTTTGAATTGCATGAACTGACACCCAATATCTTGTCACACTTTTTGTGATGCTCATTGATGAATGGAGTTCAAGTGGTGAGAGCCTGATCTCTCCATGTAAAGTTCTCCTTGAGTTTCATCAGTGGTTTTGGCAGCCTTTGGTAACTGTAGTGGTTCATTGCCTAGAACCACCATAACGTTAGGAGTTGTAAATTGGTGATTTTTCTCATTCCATCATTCCTTTTAGTATTAATAGCTGGAATTGATAAATAAGAATGTTCCTTCACGAACCATTTGGTTACCTTGAACTGTAGTTTATACAGGAAAGGTAGGATAAATCTGTAATTATTCTTCTTTATCAGTTTTCAGAGTAATGAGTTGATATCCTGACAACTTTCAGTAGTGACCAGTGATTTTTATCTGCGGTATCATGAATTCACGGATTTTTATATTTCAATCCATTATGTCATTATTTCTTTGATGCTTATATTATCCCATTTTAGGCCAGTGGGAACCTCTTCAGATTGGCACTTTTGTCTTTTTGAAATGATCATATCATTCTTTGATAGCAAGGAAGTAGCTCAGGCTGGAGTGCCATTGGCTTTTCACAGGTGTGATGATAGTGCACTACAGCCTTTAACTCCTGAGCTCATGTGATCTTCCTGCCTCAGCCTCCTGAGTGGCTGGGGCTACAGGCACATGTCACTGCACCAGGTGAGGCCAAGCCTTGATTCCTCTTAACAGAGAGTGGCATTTAAGCAGCAGTCTGGCTAGGTTCTAGGTGTGTTTATTGCTATTGAGTTTGTTATTTATTCCAGGTCTTTTCGATGAACAGAGATAGGAAATACATAAGTTCATATTGTTACTCCAATTCACCTTGAGACTATGGGATTCACACTTAAATCTCTTTTCTCTTGTTTTGAAAATCTTGATTCTTAATGACCATTAGCATAATTACTTCATTGTATTATCTATAATATGCTTAAAATAATTTCAAAATAAGTACCTATACTATTAATAACATTAAGAATACTGAGTGCAGTTTTTTTGTACTTTTTATCCTTAGAATATATCACACTAGATATGATCAGTCAAAATATTGTTTTAAAGACACGTAAAGTAATTCAGTTCCTTGTGTAGTTATGGCCTCAACTTGTTAAACAGATAGGTTCATTTATTTCAGTATCTTTTCCTCAATTTTTAGGAATTTTTTTCTTTTGATTTATTGTTTCTAATTATATAAAACTTTTATATTCTTTCACAGTCCAAATTGTACTAATAAAGTACATTTACAGAAGTCTCAATTTCATTCCTGTACTCTTCAACCTATTCCCTTCTTTTTCCTGTATGTAACCATTTTATTAATTTTTCTATTTCCAATTTTTTTGAAAATAAAAGCAAATATATAAAGTCCTATTTCCTCTCAACATATACCCAAAAGGTAGCATACTATAAATACTGTTTTGTACTTTTGTGCCTTAATTTATTGATATGCCCCAGATATCACTTCATATCATATATAGAAATCCTCATTTCTTTTTATAGCTACGTTACTCTATTTTGTGGAGGTTCCAGTTTAACTAGGCCCCTTTTGATGAACATCTGGTTTGTTTGCAGTCTTTTGTTGTTAAAAAAATATTGCTGTTATATACAGCATTATTTGTACACAGGTTATTTTGTATTTTTGCTAAGTGTGATCTTTGGGATATTTTTCTAGAAGTGGTGCCACTGCACTAAAGAGTAAATGAATAGATAATTTTGCTAATATTGTCCCAACTACCCTCCATAAGAGTTATCATTTTGCATTTCTACCAGCAATGAAGGAGAGTGCCTGTTTCCCCCATAGCATCACCAAAAAATATCACACATTGAAATTTTTGCCAATCTGGTAGTTTACTTTTCTTTAATTTAGATTGGCTTATATGTATACCAGTTTCTTTGTTCATCATTCTTTCTTGTACCTCAGACTTTCCTTCTGGAATTTTCCTCCTTGAAATACATCCTTAAGAAGCCCTTATATGTACTTTATTTGTTTGGCCTGGGATTCTTTGTGTTTCCTGAATCTGAAGTTTCATGTTTTTAATTGTGGAAAAATTTCTACTGCATTATCTCTTTAAATACTGTCTCTCCCATATTCTCTTCTGGAACTCCCAGGTAGACATAATTAGACTTTCTTTTTTCCTCTTTGTCTTTTAACTGGCATTTCATGTTTATCTCTCTGCTGCATTTGGGTAGTTTTTTCCATGATGATTTTATATTCCATGATAGTTTATTCAACTTTCTCTTCTAGATTCATTATTTTCTTTTTAGTTGTGTCGAATCTACAATTTAACCTCATCTAATGAGTTTTTACTGTCATTGATTATATCTATGATTTTTGGAAGTTCAATTTTTTTCCCCCACTCAAAGCTACCTGATCTTCATTAGGGTATCTTAATTGTTCATATTTTTTAATTTGTGTGTGTATGTGTATGTGTGTGTGTGTGTGTGTTTACTTAGTCATGAATCCAGAATAATTTTAATTTCTTAAACATTTTAATCATAGTTATTTTGTATTCTTAATCTGATAACTCCAATATCTGAGGATCTTGGGGGATGTCTAGTACTGTTTTTATTAATATCTGTTGACTTTGCTCATAGTGGCTTATTTTATCACATGCTTTGTAATTTTGAGTTGTATGTACTTCGGCTGGTATCATCTGTGGGAATATTGCAAAGCGTGGGGCAAGGGTGCATTTTCCAGAGTATAAATGTTGCTTCTGCTAGATGCCCTATGATATTACCAACCTAGGACCATTTATAAGTTAATTTCTTGGCTTTAGTTTCCCAGACCATGGAGGCAAGGTAAATTTGAAATCAAAAGCTCCCTGAGGACATGCCTATGGAATTCTATAGGGGATTTTTTTTTTCCTACTTACAGTATAGACTGAGAAAAATAAATTCTTTTGTTGTTTGGCTTTGCCAGCTGACATATTTTTTTTCTAGTTCATTCTTTCATTTAAGCTGTAATTCTTTATGGGTTTACTTTCTGTGGGATTCTCAGAACCAGCTTGTTACTTTGCATGGACTGGAGGCTTTATCTCCTGTCCCCTGCTTGGTAGTGAAAAATCAAACCTCTAGGTTTCTGATTCTGGTGACTGCCTCCAAGGTAGATTCAGCTTCATACTTGGCTTACCTCTCTGGGTTTCAAGTTCTTTTTTTAGTTTTGGCCCCAGGAAATTTAACTTTTGTGAACTTGGCTATAGAATAAATGGATAATTGTTAAATTTTACCCAGCATTTCTGTTTTATATCAGAAGCTTTTTCCCCATAATTTCTGAGCCAGAAATAATTTTCTATTATTTATTTAACATGGTATAAACTGAAAACAATACAAAATACTCAAGTTCTTAAAAATCTCCAAGTAATTCATCTCATAAAGATGGAATGTTATTGTTATTCTGTGCACATCATTCAGAGTTATGCTTTTTAAGTTTATTTCTTTCTAATAGTTTTTTTCCTGCTTTTCTTTGTTCTTATAGAAGTAAGGGTAATTGTACAATATTTGAAAAGATTAAAAAGGTATAAAGGTTTAGGAAACAACTTGTAATCTTCCCACCAAGGTAACAATTTAACATTTTGATATAGTTCTGTCTAAATTTTTCTGGCTTTTCTATATGGCATTTAAAATTATCTTTCTTAATGAAAAATACCATTGTGTTGACATACCTGCCTGTATATTTCCTTGCTTTTACCTTATTATAGTTTTTTGTTTGTTTGGTTGGTTGGTTGGTTTTTGTAAGACAGGGTCTCACTCTGTTGCCCAGACTGGAATGCAGTGTGATCACAGCTCACTGCAACCTCCAACTCCCAGGCTAATGCCATTCTCTTAGCTCAGCCTCCTGGGTAGCTAGGACAACAGGTGCATGCCACCATGCCTGGCTAATTTTTTAAAATTTTGTTTTAGAGATGGGGTCTCACTCTATTGCCCAGGCTGGTCTTGAACTCCCGGACTCAAGTGATCCTCCTGCCTCGGCCTCTCAAAGTGCTGGAATTACAGGCATTAGCCACTGTGCCCAGCACTTATTACAGTTTTTAGCTATAATATTTAGTTCAGCCACAAAAATATTTTATACAAGAAGGTATTCTCTCCAACCCCCAGTAGTAAATCTCAAGGAAATAATTGAAAAATAGTAGTATCAAGTCATAGGATATAAAGTTTTTATTCTTATCTTATAGTGCTAAATTTTTTAAAGGGTTAAATAAGTGACAAATGCCTGGAATATAGTAAGACCTCAATAAATACAGACCATTATTTTAAGCCATTTTTCTTCATGGTGGTTTTAATTTCATATTTCTTCAGTGGTTAATGAAGCTAAATATTTTCTCAAGTGTTTTGCTTTTCTATTTATATTTTATCACATGCGAACTGTCAGATACCTCTTTTTCTTTTTTTTGTTTTATAAAAAATATATATATTTTTTTATTTCAGCATATTATGGGGGTACAGATGTTTATGTTATGTATGTTGCTCTTGCCCCCCCGCCCCCCTCTTTTTCTTAAAATAGAAGTTTCACTTCAGAAGCCAGTTGACATACTAACACCAAGAACACAAACGATAAAAGATTAATTAAGTTAGACTCCTTCAAAATTAAAATTTTGTGCTTCAAAGTAGTAATATACCATCAAGAAAGTAAAAAGATAACCCATATTATGGGAAAAAATACTTGAAAATCATATGAATGATAAGGGATTTGTATCCAAAATATCTAATGAACTCTAACAAGTCAATAATAAAAAACAACCAAATTTTTTAAATAGACAAAAGATTTGAATTGACAAGTTTCCAAAGAAGATCTACAAATGGACAAATAAGCACATGAAAAGATGCTCAACATCATCAGTCCTTAGGGAAATGGAAATCAAACTCACAATGAAATGTCGCTTCATACCCACTAGACTGTAATAAAAAAGAAGGATCATAATAAGCATTGACAAGGATGTGGAGAAATTGGAATTTCATACACTGCTGGTGGGAATGTAAAGTGTTAATAGGCACTTTGGAAAAGTTTGGCAGTTCCTCAAAATGTTAAGCGTAGAGTTGCCATAGGACCCAGCAGTTCCACTGCTGCATATGTACTGGAGAAATGAAAACATATGTCCTCACAAAAACCTGTATACAAATGTTCATAGTGGCATTATTCATAAAAGCCAAAAAAAAAAAAGGAAACAACCCAAATGTCTATCAACCAATAAACAAAATGTGGTCTGTCCGTACAACAGACAATAAAAAGTGTGCTACAATAAAGATGCATCTTGAAAACATCATGCTGAGTGGAAGTGGTCAGTCATAAAAGACCACATATTGTATGATTCCATTTGTATGAAATGTCCAGAACAGGCTAATCTATAGAGACAGAAAGTAGGTTAGTGGTTGTTTAGGGTTAGGTGGAATGGGGGAGATCATGAGTAGTGACTGTTAATGGTTACAGAGTTTCTTTTGGAATGATGAAAATGTTCTAAAATTAGATTGTGGTGATGGTTACACAACTCTGTAAATATACCAAGAACTATTGTAATCTTTAAATGGGTGAACTTTATGGAATTTAGATTATATGTCATTAATGCTGTTTAAAAGAAAGAAAGAAACAAGTTGACAGGTTGGCCTCTCCTGTACACTCATCTCTTACCTAGATTGTTGTTTAGGAGTGAGATAGATACATATTATTTGGCGCTTCCTACTGTGTTAGAAAATAGCATATTTCAACTTAATCGATGTTTCATTTTGGTATGATGACTGATAATTTAAGTCTTGGGCCCTCTAGGTCCCACGTCCCCTCTTACCAGCTGTGCAATTCTTGTCATGTTACATTACCTTATAGATTATTCCTTTGTTTATAAAATTAGGGTAATTTTTGCTTTTCCTACCTCAGAAGATTATTGTGGGGTTTAAATAAAAATGAGTTAGCATTTTGAAAGCTGTATAGTCTTAAATAAATGTACAGTAGTATTAAGATTCCTAAAGTTCTCTGTATTTTCTTTTAATAGGAGTAAAAGACAAATCTTTTCTAACGGCTGAGGACTGCTTTGAGTTGGGCAAAGTAGCCTATACAGAAGCAGATTATTACCATACAGAACTGTGGATGGAACAAGCACTAAGGCAACTTGATGAAGGCGAGGTTTCTACCATAGATAAAGTCTCTGTCCTAGACTATTTGAGCTATGCAGTATACCAGCAGGGAGACCTGGATAAGGCACTTTTGCTCACAAAGAAGCTTCTTGATCTAGGTATGTTATCTGGGCCTCATTTAATCCTATAGTTATATTGGGAGATACATAGTATGTTATCTATGTGTCTCCATCCATATACCTTTGATAATTTTTATTTGTTAGAAATCAGGAACCTTATATGTCAAACATACTTTATCCTCTCCGTGTTATTCTCAAAGTAAATGGCAACTGATTTTTCTCAGTGAATAGTACTACAAACAGTGGCTGTGTTTCTCTTCTCTGCTCTGTATTCTCCAGGAATTTCAAAACCTAACCTAGCTAACTCTGTCAAAAATGTTTGTTTATTTCAAATGTTAATCAGTTTCATTTGAAGGATGTTTTGGTTTATTGCATTTTATATTGAAAAATAAAGTGATTTAAAATAAATGGACTGAAAATATATTTGATTGTCATATTCAAATGTTAGAAAATGTAATACCTTATGAGAGAATTTTATCACTAGTACTTTGAATAGAGAGGTACTGTTTCTTCAAGTATGGTCCAAGGACCATGTGCATCAGAATTACTTGGGTACTTGCTAGAAATGAAAATTCCTTGTTCTTTACCCCGGACCTACTAAATTGTAATCTCTGGAGATGGAGTCCAGAATTTATACGGTAATAAGTTCAGGCAGCCATTGGTATATAATGAAGCTTTAAAAACTTTTAAAAATTAATTATTTTTATGAATAGGAAAATATGTGTATGTTAGAAGAGTCAAACAGCCCAAAAGGATTGATCATCTGAAAATGAACTTTGATAAAGGGTTATTTCTTAGTTGGGTGAATTCATAAATTGATATATTAGTTCAAGTAACCTTTATTTTCCTTTCAGTATTTTCCAGTGATTTTTCCTCCTGATTTAAAACATACTTTGTATTCTTTATAGAAAATTGATCAAAATGGAAAAAAATACAGAACAGTCATCCATAAGCCCATCACTCAAAGATACCTACACATTTTTTTTCCTTGTATGCACTCTCCCTCCCCACACACACACACTTTTCCCTTTCTTTTACAAGATTAGGCTTATATGGTATATCGTAACGTACACTGTGAGTAGTTTTTGAAGGACAAGAAATATTTTACAATTTAGGGCTAAATTTCCTAAACAGTTGTTGTCACAAGTGAAGTTTCTACATACCATTCTGCATTTTTTATTCGTTTGTGTGTGTAGTTGTTTAGATTTTTTCCCCCTGGATGGGCAGTGTAGTCTTCTTTTCCCCTACTAAAAGGTAGTTAAAAATTATGACTGGCAATTTTGAGGCATTTAGTGGATTCTAGCTTTTTCGAAAATTATATCTTTAGCTTCCCTTTTCCTTGTTACCTAGAAATTTGGGACTGAAATCCATTCAGCCCTCAGAAGTAGGCTACATTTATAATGCATCTGTGGTAAAGGTTGCTTTTGAACTACATATGCCCTGTTTTCCCTGTGATGAATACTTTTTGGTCTCAGGAAAACCTTTTCCATTGCTTAAAATAAGTAGAATGAGCAGGATTTAAAATTCATTTGACATCATATGGAATATAGTTCCTTTCACTGATTAGTAAATTCTCAACGTGGGAGCACTAGTTGCTACCTTGAAATAAATGGCTGTTTTTTTCATCTCCAGAACTGTTTTTCTATAGGGTGATGTTTATATGGGGTGACTGTATGTCCTTATTTACATGGGGACAGTACTAGTTTACACTTGTTGTTTTGGTATAATAATTTTTATTAGTGCTTCCTTTCACAAAAGCAACCTGGTTTGGAAGATAAATTATATGGTTACCTATTTTTATATTGCTGTATTCTGATGCTTAAACAACTGTAAACTTACCCATGGACATGCTTTCTTTCTCTTCTAATAGATCCTGAACATCAGAGAGCTAATGGTAACTTAAAATATTTTGAGTATATAATGGCTAAAGAAAAAGATGTCAATAAGTCTGCTTCAGATGACCCGTCTGATCAGAAAACCACACCAAAGAAAAAAGGGGTTGCTGTGGATTACCTGCCAGAGAGACAGAAGTACGAAATGCTGTGCCGTGGGGAGGGTATCAAAATGGTAAAGTGGAAAAGCCAATTGTGTGTGTGTGTGAATGTATGTATGTATTTGTACATAGTTCTAGAGAGAGAATCGCAGTTCATTTATATTTAAGCCATGTGATAAAAATCAGAATGAGTATGTAAACTGTTTACAGCATGCAACGTTACCTCAGTGTGGGTATCACACTTAATATGTTCCAATTATTAGTAAAATAGCTTTAAAATACAGCTTGCAAATATGTACTGTCACATGCATTTGCAGTAATATTACCTTTTTCATAGATCAAAAAAGGGTTATTTTCCAGGGTGAAGGATCAAATAAGTTTAAGGGAAGTGATAATTTTTCTTATATTTAATGCAAAAAAGATTTCAGCAGTCTTAAGTGGATACAATACACTATTCTAACTTATGAGACATAATAGATTCATCTGTATAATAATTTCTTGTGGTATTGCTTCTAGTCAATTTAACAAGATTCCTTGGTGAAATCAGTGAAATATTTTAGTCTATTTAAGAAACACTCTAAATGCAGAAAGACTTTCAACAGATTTTGTCTTTAACATTAATTTAATTTAATTTATTTTTTTAGAGACAAGATCTCGCTCTGTTGCCTAGGCTGGAGTGTACTGGCCCGATCATAGCTAACTATAACCTTGAACTCCTGGGCTCGATTATAGCTCATGGTAACCTCAAACTCCTGGGCTCAAGCGACCCTCTTAGCTCAGCCTCCCAAATGTCTAGATTGGCCTGGGGGCTAATTTTATTTTTATTTCTGTAGAGACGGGGTCTCACTACATTGCCCAGGCTGGTCTCGAACTCCTGGCCTCAAGCAATCCTCCCATCTCGACCTCCCAAAATGCTGGGATTACAGGTGTGAGCCACCACGCCCAGCCAACATTTATTCTTTAAAAGACCAAATATCTATATAAACATCCCCTTATTCATTATATATTTCTATTTATGTCTTTATAACTCAGAATGCCAGTTCTTCAGGATGTTAATAGATACAAGGCCAAAAAAAAAAAAAAAAAGATTCAAGTCTGGGAAACATTTGTTAAACAAATTTGAACATAGGTTTTTGTTTAACCTCAGGACTTCTCAGAGCCTTTTTATGATAATGTGGCATTATGGATATGATATACATTGTTTTCTAATATTAGTTGATTATGGAATCTTTTAGAAAAACTTTTAAAAGAAGGAGTATCATGTGGTAATAGTGTTCAGTTGAATGCAGGCATGCATAGAAGGAGTAAGTGAATTTTTGGAGCAGATGCTTTTAAGTGTAAACATTTGAAAAGTGTTTAAATTTTTCTTTATTGCTAATAAACTCAAGTTGAGCTTTACATTTTGATATTGATGGCTGTTGACAGCTTAACCACTAATAGCAAGTAAGTATATAATAGATATCTGTGTTAACACTTTGATAGCTGGGTTCATGGAGTCCTAGGAAGACATGCTTGCTTTTACTTTGGGAGCTAATGAGTAAATATTAATACAAGGATAGTGACACTTTGTTAGACTCATTAAACATTTTCTTTTCTATTTCATTTCTAAATATTTTAGTATGTATCTTTTAAGGATAAGAACTCAACAAGAAAAAAAATGAAATAAAAAAAGAACTCAGATTAACTACAATACCATTATCACACCTAAAAAATTCACAATAGGCCAGGCGCGGTGGCTCACGCTTGTAATCCTAGCACTCTGGGAGGCCGAGGCAGGAGGATTGCTTGAGCTCAGGAGTTTGAGATCAGCCTGAGCAAGAACGAGACCCCATCTCTACTATAAATAGAAAGAAATTAGCCAAACAATTAAAAATAGAAAAAAAAATTCACAATAGTTTCATAATATCATCAAATACCTAGTTAGTATTCAGATTTCCAATTGTAAGCAGATTTTTTTATTGCCCTTAGTAACTCTTAAAGAAGAGAGCAAAATAGAACTATAGGTATAAAACAGAAGTCTGCTAATTGGCCAGTTTATTGATATGACACATCAGCTCTGCCTAAGATGAAAGGAACATTCTTTTTTGCAGAACAGTTAAATTCATTTCATCATTATATAAAAGACTTATTAGATACAAAGCCTTGGATTTGATTCTAGGTAAATAAAGTGCATGGAGAATAAACATGAATCATTATTTGTTTTAATATGTTATTAGTATAATAATTAAAACAAAGTAATCATGTTCCTTCTTTGTATATGACATACTTGTTCAATTAAGTAAAGAATCAGCAGTGAAATAACTTATTAATATAATACATAGATGGTTAAAGGAAATTTATGTGTTTTGTTGACTGCTCTATGTTTATACCCCCTAATAAAAATACTTGGCTTTTTTGTTTAATAACTTATTTTGTCTTTTTCAGTGGTACCCATTTTCATAAAAAGTCTTTTTTTTTTCTTTTGCCATAAGCATTTAACTGTGAAGTATTTAGGAAAACCTAGATTTGTTTGTTTGGTTTTTCCTTCTAGAAACTTTCTGGGTGCTTCCCAGTTACTTTGTGAAGTTCAGAGCAATGCTGGGCATTTATTTAACATTTCATAAGCATTTTATGTTTCTTTCATATTTATAACATCTGAACTTTATTTTGATGAGAGAAGGGTTAAAAGGGAAACGCTACCTTTTTTCTTTTTTTCTTTTTTTTTTTGAGACAGAGTCTCGCTCTGTTTCCAGGGCTAGACTGAGTGCCGTGGCATCAGCCTAGCTCACAGCAAGCTCAAACTCTTGGGCTCAAGCGATCCTCTTGCCTTAGCCTCCTGAATAGCTGGGACTACAGGCACTCACCACCACGCCTGGGTCATTTTTTCTGTTTTTAGTAGAGATGGGATCTCCCTCTTGCTCAGGCTGGTCTTGAACTTCTAAGCTCAAGCGATCCTCCTGCTTCGGCCTCCCAGAATGCCAACCCACCTTTTTTCTTATTTAAGGCCTCCCATCTCTCTCCCAGAAAATAATCATTAATAAAATTTTAAAAATATTTTTGCAGAGTACGGCTTCTTTTGTGTATTCTTCCAGAGATACTCTTTATGTATATGCAAACATGATTATTGTTTCTTATCTGCATAGGAATAGGTATTAAAAATATTGCTAGGCTTGGTGGCTCACATCTATAGTCCCAGCTCTTAGGAGGCTGAGGCAGGAGGATCGCTTGAACCCAGGAGTTCCTGGCTGTAGTGAGCTATGATTGCGCCACTGCACTCCAGCCTGAACAACAGAGCAAGACTCTGTCTCTTAAAAAAATAAAAATAAAAAATAAAAATATTATTATTCTACTATATCTATCATTTTCTTAACTTTATATTTAGACTCCACGGAGACAAAAAAAACTCTTTTGCCGCTACCATGATGGAAACCGGAATCCCAAATTTATTCTGGCTCCAGCCAAACAGGAGGATGAGTGGGACAAGCCTCGCATTGTTCGCTTCCATGATATTATTTCTGATGCAGAAATTGAAATTGTCAAAGACCTAGCAAAACCAAGGGTAAATAATTTTTTCTTTTTTCTCTTCAATTTACTGTACTTGTGTATTAATTTTTTCTTTGTAAGATAATGGAAAGGATAATTGATATGGTAATAACTCCACAGATAGTTTTAGATATTGTCACCTCAAAGTAATGGAGTCGTTAATGACTCTATGCCAGTTTTTTTCAGTTTATCAACACAAGTAACATACCCTGCAACTGGCTTTTAAGCTCTGAATTATGAGAATCATAGATGAGATTTTTATTCACATTTAACAAATTTGTATTTCACTGCCTTTCTGAAAAACTTTTCTATATATTTTGGAGTCTTTTAATCTCAGACACTACTCAAAACCCAGCCTTTTCATATCTTCTGTATTTTTATCTGAAAGAATACTTGAAGTATTTTTATTCCCTATTAGGCACATTATCAGTAGAAAGATATAATTGGGCATAAACATCATGTTAATGTGAAATGGTGACATCACACCATTTATCTTAATAAGAAAAATAATCTATGGCCGGGAGCGGTGACTCTCAAGAGCGAGACCCTGTCTCTACTAAAAAAATAGAAAGAAATTAGCTGGATAACTAAAAATATATATATATAAAAAAAAATAGCTGGGCATGGTGGCGCATGCCTGTAGTCCCAGCTACTCGGGAGGCTGAGGCAGAAGGATCGCTTGAGCCCAGGAGTTTGAGGTTGCTGTGAGCTAGGCTGACGCCACGGCACTCTAGCCCGGGCAACAGAGTGAGACTCTGTCTCAAAAAAAAAAAAAAAAAGAAAAGAAAAGTAATCTAATGTAAACTCAATCCTATAAACTTAGTGTTTAGCATAGAAACTCTTCTTTAGTGAGAATGTGGGAAAGACTACCCTTTATATACTGGCCTTTTTTCCCATCAGCTTGTTCTTAAAACACATTTGGTCTTCTTGATAATAAAATACAAACTGCCATCACTTTCATAAAGAGATTGTAAATAAATGCTAGGTATATTTTTGTTTTCATTATACAGGAGTTGGCAGATTTTTTCTGTAAAGGTTAATAGTAAATTCCCCCCCACACCCCTTTTAAAGAAACAGTATCTCACTCTTGTCGCCCAGGCTGGAGTGTAGCTAGGACTATAGGCATGTGCCACTACACCTTACTAATTTTTTAATTTTTTGTAAAGATGGGATCTTGCTATATTACCCAGGCTGATCTTGAGCTCCTGGCCTCAAGTGATCCTTCTGTCTTGGCCTCCCAAAGTGCTGGGATTATATAGGCATGAGCCACCATGCCCAGCTCGATAATAAATATTTTTTAGGCTTTGCAGGCCATGTGATCTCTGTCACAACTACTTAAGTCTGCCATTGTAGTATAGAAGCAGCCAAATATGTAAATGAATGAATGTGGCTATATTATATAAAATTTTATTTCCAAAAACAGGCAGTAGGCCGAATTTGGCCCATGGGGTGTAGTTTGCTGACCCTCATTATATCATAAAGGTTTGAATTATCTGGATATCTGTACTGCAAAATAAACTTAGTCAGAATTTTTTTAAAGTTTTACTACTTTTCCAAATTGGTACCTTTTTTTTTTGAGACAGAGTCTCACTCTGTTGCCCAGGCTAGAGTGTAGCTCACTGTAACCTTGAACTCTGGGCTCAAGAAGTCCTCCTGCCTTAGCCTCCCAAGTATTTAGGACTATAGGCTTGGACCACCATGCCTGGCTAATTTTTCTTATTTTTTGTGCATATGGGGTCTCACTATATTGCCCAGACTGGTTTTGAATTCCTGCTCTCAGGTGATCTTCCATCTTGGCCTCCCTCAGTGCTGGGATTACAGGCATGAACCACCACCACTCCTGGCCAGTGCTTTTTATTTTTTTACCAAACAAAGACTACATTATAAATGCAAAAGACTCCTCTGATATTAATATGTATGGATGTTGTCCAAGGGAATTCTTATAAATCTACTGCCAAACAGAATGTTACTTATGATTGCATCATATTCTGTCATTCTCTCTTGAATTCCTATTTTAGTCTTTTATTTATGGTCAGTAAACCTAGTAAATCAAAATCTCTTTGTAGAATATTAAGAATTCATTTCAGCTTGGAGATCAAGCCTTATATCTTTGGGTTTGAAGGCTTCAGTCTTCAAAGAAGATTTCTCAGTTTGGATTGTTTTTGATCAATAAATTTAATGGCAGTAAAATTTCATGCTGTTTT